CAGAGGGTAGGTGATTGCTTTTCAGTTTGGAGAGGACATGCACACTTCTTCTCCCTGCAAGTGTCTGGTCCCTGTTGCCTGATGAATAGCAGACTGCCTTTTGAAAGGCTGTCTTCAAAACTATAGATAAACCAAGCCAGTAATGATGGGACAGGTCACAGGAGAACTTGATTGGCACTGATTGTCAGAAAGATTAATGTGAGCGTGAGAACAAGCAGCAAAGAACCACTTTGCAGCCTGTCTCTGCTCATGTGTGACCACCAGTACATGTGGTGAAGGCATGTTAGTAAGGGATGGAGTGTGTAGCCTTCTGTCTGCATTTAGTGGGACCATACCCCAGTGCTGTGTTCTCCCCAGCATATGGGGTAGGGGGAATTCTGATGGGAGAGCCTGACTGTTCAGCTTGACTTGTTGGAGATGACTGCAAAAATGCCTTGGTGAATGTTGGAGATGATCTTGTGCACCCGCATGATCTGTTATTTTTTTCCATCAGAAGCTCTGTGAAGTGCTGGGCACTGACATATATCTGCAGGCATCCTTTAGGAATGTTCTTCAGTACTTTTTAACCTCCTTCTCTTCCATGCCCTATAGGAAGGAAAAGAGATGCAGTAAGTAGGACCACCACCATCATTGTAGTAATGAGTGTCTTGTAAGTACTCACTTGCATTAAAATGTGGCTTGACTCAAGCTCATCTTAGTCTTTATCTGTTTTTGTCTATTCCTCTTTTGCATGTTAACATTGCATGTAGCATAATAGATCTTAACCTAATTTGAGTGGAACACATGGGTATAGGAGGGGAATGCATTGACTTAGAAATGACACTTGGAATGAAAATTCTGATTTGTCAAACTACTCTACCTTCCAGATTTTCTTAGATCTGATCATATTTTTAAAAAGTCTAGAATTTACTAATTCTTAGTTTTAAAAGTTCCAAGAGGAGATACTGTTGCTCCATTTGTTCCTATTGCACAGCTTAACGTTAACTGCTAAGAATTGTTTGGATAGATCTGTTTTCAGTATAGTTCTGCCCCACACCTTTTTTCTTCCAGAAGGATTCTGTTTCCTTAGCTGTTTTTAGCCTAGATCTTGCTTTTGTAGCATTGCAGGTGAAATTCTTACAGGACTTGGATTTTTGTTGTCTTTACAGTTTGCTGCTCTTGGTCTTGCTGAATATAACACTGTTTCTCAAACTGTCAAAGATAGAACATGCAGCTCAGTCCCTCTATCATGTCCAACTTCAGGAAGAAAGCTCTTTGAAGTAAGTCAAATTAACAATCTTTGTTTGCTTTCTTCCTTAGCTTATGTGAGAATCTGATCTAAGGAAATAAATTTCAGACAATGAAACTCAGTGGCAAGTTATCATAAGTTGCTGGGGCTTGCTGCGCTTCTGTGGTCTGTGCTGAGATCCAGTGATATGTCTGACTGCATCTTGCAGTAATAAGTTTCTCCTTTGACAAGCTGGTTTTTGGGGAACCTTAACCTTAATTTGCATTTATCACCCCACTGTGACTCATCTTCTGTGAATATCACAGAACCGAAGTGTTCATCCTGTGTGAACCAGCATGATCTCAAATGTAATGTTTAAGATCCATTTAACTTGTTGGCTTCTTTCTGTGAGTCTCCTGGTAAATCTCTCCCTCAACAGCTTCCATGTTGCATGCCTTTTGTATTCAGACATGGGAAGATGTTGCTTCCTCTGTTGAATACAGTATCAACAATTAAGTTAAAAACCATAACCTGATGTTGAGTCTGGAAATGGTGTGGTGACCTCCCATAGTGACCATCTCAGAACTGATTAGAACAACTTTATTTATAAGAAAGATTTTGCTCACTGAAGTGTGAGAACTTGTTGTAGATGTAATGTGAGCACATTTCTTGTTGGTGGCTGTTGTCTGCAAAGGTCTGAAACAATATCTTCAAGGCAGCAGGGACTGGAATTCAACTGCAGGGAGCTTTTTGTGTGGCTTTTGTAAAAGGATGGCTTTAGTAATGGCACAGCAAGGGTGGCAGAGAGCAGTTGTTTTTAAAAGGTGTCAGGGTTCTGTTTCATATTTCTGATGTAATCTCAATCTTTTTCAGCATATCCCCAGAAATGGTATCAAAAGAAGAGATCCCTCAGTATGACAAGGAACAGGTTCAACGTGTAAAGGGAGTCTTAAGAGACTCAATTGAAATGCTTGAGCAGGTAGGTCTGACAGTCTTTCTCTGATGTTCTTGTTTCTCAACTCAAGTTTTCTCTCATATGCTGTCATACCTTTTGTTTGATGTCCTCTGGTGCTAACTAAAGTTTTCGTGATTCCTTGATCTGTTTTGCCCTAGTCTTGAATTTAGTAAGTAGGCAGTGCTTAACATTTCTGATGTTTTTGATAGGTTTCGTTTTGGTTTGTTTTGTTTGTTTGATTTGACTAAGATATAAGTATTAACTTCAATTTTCTTAAAACTTGCCAAGTACCTGTATTGATGAGAGATGTTGATGCAGTTCTGAATCATGACAAAGCAAAGACTGGAGTGTTTCAAAACACTTTGCTTTCTAAGACTCATGTTGAGACGTCTTAAGTATTTTCCCACCTCATTATGGGGTGTCTTTGTTTATCCTGGCTTTTGCTCCCCACTATTCTTATAGATAGTGCCTAGAGCTTCACTTAGCCTTGGTATCAATGGCCCACGTAATCTCCAGTGAAAAATAAATAACTTCAGACCAAATGTTTCTGAGAGGCTCCATAGCTATAGAATTAATCCTTCTTTACAGTAACTTGCTGAATGCTGTTGTCTCTCTGATCCTGAAGTCTCTGACTGGTAAATCCCTGGCTGAAATTTCAACTCAGTGAGGGGCAGTAATTCATGCTTTAGTTTTAACTTGCAACCCATGAATGTTCTGATTTTAAGTTCTTCTATTAAACCTTAAAATGTGATGGAATAAATTACTAGATTAGGGAAGCTGCAAGGGGAGTTCACATGTACCTCTATCCATCACCAGTTTTCTCTGGGTTCTTCCATGCACTAAGAGTGGGTAGAAAAAGAAAACATTTTTGTATTCCTTGTTTAGAGGTGTCTCTGCACACAAAAGTGCCATTAATCTATTAATTAACCACTTTGATCACAGCATGGTTTCTGTGCCCTTTTCGTTTTCTCTCCTTACTGTCTAAACAATTCCTAATTCTGAAGTGTTAAGTGCCTTTTGAACACACGGTGTAAAAAAGAAAAGTGGGAATTTCACCACCTTTTTCATCCCAAATAACACTTTTTGCCTGGGAGTTCTAACACAATGACTGGTACCTTGTGTTTTCTGAGGGTTGTCAATAATCTAAAGCAGTTTGTGCACCAGAATATATTAGGAGGGCCAGGTATTAAAAGGAAATTCATGTTTTGCTGCCATGTTCCTTAGTATTTGCTATGAACATTATCTGTGACTAAAACTGAGTGGGGTGGCTTATCTTATGCAATGTTGTCTGGTGAGGTGTTAAGACTTTATCATCCTGGACTGTTGGTATTTATAAACTGTACAGGATATAGCTGTTAAGAGAGCACAGTAAGCCAACTGTTTATGGAAACAGGGAGGAGGAAATCACATGAAGTCTTGGGGGAAAAAAAAAAAAAGGAGTAGGGAGACATTATTTTCCTGATATCACTCACCCATGCAGGAAATTAACTTCAGTAATTGGGGGGGGGTGGGTGTTGTGATGGTTGTGTCTTTACAGCTGAAGACTTCCCTTTCCATGCTCCAAAGAAGCTTTGACCACTTGAACAGGACACAGAGCAGCAGGACTGAGAGTTAATACCACTTCAGCTTTTTGTTCAAGATGTGGGAAGAAGAGATGTGTGTGTGAGGACTTGTGGGGTAGTGAATATAACTGTCACCTTTGGACTCTTCACTGTTTGGCTCAAAAGCTATACAGAATAAAGGTTTGTGGAAGAAGTAAGTTGGGTTCTGCATTCCCATAGCTTGGCAGCTTTGTCTGTCCTGCCAGCCCTCTACCCTGGGGAGTCTTGCTTATGACCAGTGCAGAGCTCTTGGATCCTGTGGTGAGTGAATGAGGGCAGTTGTACTGCTGGTTAATGGATCTGCAAATTCCAGAGGGGGGAGAACACCCTCAGCAGAGAGCAGGGCTTGTCTTGAGAAAATCACATCTTTTTATGCCAACTTAGAAAATGACCACCAGTGAAGAGTCTTCTGGAGCAAAAGAATGGTGATGGTTCCTCAGCCACTGGATCTTCATATGCCTTTTTTTAGCCATGGGGACCTTGTAAAACAACTCACCATCCTAAGGATGAATATGCCTAAGATTAATTAACAGGAAAAGGCTTGATATCTCTTGCACACTGCAAGCTTTGGCAGTCTGCCTTTTGCCATATGTTTCCAGCTCTCCCAGAGAAATTTCAGCCCTCGGTATTTTCCCTCCGTCGAGGGCTGCGCTTCAGCTCTGGAGTGCGGTGTGCCCACTGATGATTAAACACCTTGGAGCAGATGAAACCTGCTTTTTCGAGGCAGGCTGAGGGGAAGAAGATGAATATGAAACCCCCAAAGCCTGTGGAACGCCTGCCTGCCCACGGGCTGGCCCGCGGTTGTGGGACAGGACTGGCTGCGTGGTGCTCAGCCTGTGTGTGCTTGGGCGAGCCCAGGGAGGTGCAGGGTGTGGGTTGCACGTGTGGGTCCCACAGAGTCCTGGGGCCACAGCCCTCCGTTGGGGGGAGGTGGAAAACTTTTCCCAGCCTCGTGAGCGGGGCCAGGCCAGGCCGGGCCGGGCCCCCACGCTGCCCCCGCGGCCCCTCCGGCCGCCACCTGTTGCGCTGCCTCTTTAAGGCAGGTGCCCCCGCGTCACGTGCGGCCCCGCCCCCCGTGTCGCCATTGGGCCGTTCCCTCGCCGGGCTCCGCCCCCCGCACACCTCGGGCGCGGCCGGCCAATGGCGGGCGGGCACTGCTGGGGGGCGGGGCCACGCTGGGCGGGGGCGCGGCGGGCGCGCGGCACCTGCGGCGGCGCTGGCGGGCGGGAGGCGCGTCCGGCCCCGGGAGCGCCCGGGCGGGCGCGATGGACGAGCCGCTCTGCTGCTGCGAGTACGTGGACCGGCGGGGCCGGCGCAGCCACCTGGCGGCGTGCTGCTGCGACTGCCAGGAGCTGGACGAGGGCTGCGACAGGTACCGGCGCCGCGACCCCCCCGGGGCCGCCCGGCTGCGGGATCCCTTCCCGCGGCGGTGTCCCTGCCCTCGAGGCGGCGGGACTGCGCCCCGCTTCCCGGGGAACTTGTCGGGAGGGAGGGCAGGGGAAGGGCACGGGGAGCGCGGTGTCCCGGTGCCAGCCGGCGCTGTGCTTCCCCGCTCCGTAGGTGGCTGGCGTGTAAATCCCTGCCCCCGGGAGCGCTGGAGAGCATCGCCGACACCATCGCGGACCGGCTGCGGGTCCCGTGGTTCTCGGGGGCCGTGAAGATCAACGTGAGCCTCGTGCCGCCTCTCGTCCTGCTGCCCGTGCTGCTCCACGTTGCCGCCCTGCACTTCCTGCTGGGGCTCCTCATCCTGACGTCCCTGCCCGTGGTGCTGCTCTGGTACTACTATCTCACCCACCGGAGGAAGGAGCGGACCCTCTTCTTCTTGAGCCTGGGGCTCTTCTCCCTGGGCTACATGTATTATGTGTTCCTCCAGGAGGTGGTTCCCCGGGGCCACGTGCAGCATTCCCAAGTGGTCGCTCTCACCTGCGGGTTAATTCTTATGCTCGCAGCCCTGTCTCGAGCCAAGAAAGACCCTGGCTACCTTCCTATCCCGACAGGCAATGAGAAGCCATCGCACCAGGGCTTGCCCAGCAGGAATGTTAGAGGGAGCTCCAGCGGGCTCCATGGTGCTGCCAGCAGTCGAGCTGTGAATGGGGAGGCCAAAAGCTATTCCAGGATGGCAGCTGATGAGCCAGAAGGTGTGAAAAAGGACTGGTGCACCAAATGCCAGCTGGTCAGGCCAGCCCGAGCAGGGCACTGCCGGCTTTGTGGCAGGTGTGTAAGAAGGTTGGACCATCACTGTGTCTGGTAGGTTTTGCACTGCTTAGGCTACATGTGTTCTCTCTGTCTCTGAGTTCCCCCTTTTTAAAGTGAACTTCTTTTTTTACAGTCCCTGTCAAACAGGTTTGCTTTTGCTGTGTGCAAGACCTGGGAACATTCTTTAAATATAGAAAGCTTTTGTATTTCCCCTTTTAAAGAACAGTTGGAAGCACTGTTTATTCTAAATGGGTTGACCTGATAGCTAATAATTTCTATAGCATACTTCAGAATTGCCTTTACTTTTCTACTGGCTTTCATCGCTCGTTTTTTTTTTTTTTTTTGGTTATTAGTACTCTCCTGGAGGAAAGGAACCCAAAACTGCCTATGTGCAGGCAGTGCTGGAAGGAGCACTGGAGCAAGGGTATGATGGTATGATCATACCCTGCAAGGAGCAGTAGGGTATGATGTGTCTCAGCAAAGGATAAACTTGCTAAAAATTTGAGGCAAACAATCTGCTGCCAGTCTATTGACTTGTGCTTATAACTTTTCTATAAAAAGCTCCAAAGCTTCTTTGAACATATTTCAAAGTTCTTAGTCTGTGTTTTGTGGAAGCACCTTGGAAATTAGTTTCTCTGACATCTGGGGGAGGGAGGAAGAAAGAGAAGCCAGTTTCTTTTCTTTTTTAAGCAAAGTAATGTCTTCTTTCCTTTTGGAGGATTAACAGCTGCGTAGGGGAGCAGAACCATCAAGCGTTCATCCTTGCACTCTCCTTCTTCATGCTCACCTCTGTGTACGGGATTACACTGACCCTGCACACCATCTGTAGGGGCCGAACTCCATTTGTGGCGTTGTTCTACTGCCCTGGGGCCTATTCTGACTACAGGTGAGATGTCTGGGAGAGAGCTGGGGTGGGAACAGGATTGGGTCAGGCAACTTAGCTCCTGTTGGCTGTCAAACCTGACCAAAAAGTGCTCCCTGAAAAGCTCTGGAAAGCAAAGGTGCCTCACTGCTCTTGCCAAGGTGGGCAGCCTGAAACTTGAAAAGAACTCACCATTTATTTGGAAAAAGTTGTTGGAGAAGCTGTGATTTGAGGTATTTATTTATTTATTGTGTCTTCTGTAGATACATCTTTAAATGTGTGCACCCAGATGCAGGTAAGGACAGTCAGGAATCCATGAGCTGTCTCTCCCTCTCATTCCTCCCTGTTTATCAAGTGAATGTCCCTCCAAGTTGTCTGTTTAGAATAGTCGGCATCAACTTGCATTGTCTGGCAGGGAAGGTGCTGAGAACTGTTGGACACGAGTTCAGAGACCAGCACTACCACTGATGAGCAGAGCATAGGGCTGGTGAACAAGTGACTCTTACCTTCCTCTGTATTCCATCTCGTGACCTTTCGAGTGTGAGCATCCTTGTGTTCTTTACAACAGGAAGAGTAAAGAGCTAGGCTGTGAGGTAGCAATGTGCGGGAGTAGCTCTGGTAGCACTGAAATTCCTCATTAAGTGAGTCCTGAAGCTTTAATTTTGAGAAAGCCTTTAAGGATTATCTGATGAAAGCAGCAAAGTGATATCACTGTGGCAGATGTAGACAGGGATTTGAAAGGATAGTGATTACCAGGGAAAGTCACTCCAAAACAGCTGTTCCAAAACTAAATGGCTTCCTTCCCATCTTTTTCCCTGCTGCCAGCTCTGCTCTGTCGTTCACCTGTGTGTGGTACTGTGCCATTGTAACAGCTGGCATGGGATACATCCTCCTCATCCAGCTGTTGAACATCAGCTACAACGTGACTGAGAGGGAAGCTCGGCTGGCTCTGCGGGACAACACTGGGCGCAGACTCCTGGGTGGGTTGGTGATAGACACTGGCCAGTATAACAGGGGGTTCCTGTGCAACTGGGGCCATTTCCTGAGCCTGGGGTCTTCTCCTCCACAGCGCTCTGCCGAAGACATTGTGTGACAGCCCTCTTTCTGCAGATGATGTTGACTGACTCTTTTTAGGAGGGGAGCAGCCCCTTCCACTGGGACTCCTTCTTCGCACTCCCTTCCTTCGTGGTCGGTGTACGGGCTGCCTGTCCCCCTACTGACAACATCAGAGGTTTTTCCAGGCAGAGTGGTTCTTTGTGTGCTGTCAGCCAGCAATAGGATGCACAAAGCAGTAAGCCATATGCACAAATGTGGAGAGAAGGAGCCTGCTGCCTTTTTCCACCATGGGAAACAGGAAGAAGAGCACAAGATTTTGTGAGAACTTGAGTTTTCTTTAGGCGTGAACCCTGGCATCAAGAGGAATGCACTGCTGGGCTTCAGAGTATGCACTGGTTCCTGCAAAGGTTGAGGAATCCCTGGTTTGTACTTAACATGCAGCATTTTGGAGCTGTCCAGAGGATGAACTTTGGATGCAGATAACAGATGGACCCCTGCAGGAGCCAGGCTGTTTGGCCAAAAGAGACTGTCTGGGCAGTCACTGGGCATTGCTCTCCTCTCTGGTGCATTTATTTATTTTTACTCTCTCTTATTCCATCCAGCTGTGTACATGCTTCCATTAAGTGCCTTTGTGAGCTACATTCCTGTAGGGCTGGGTCTGTGCTAGTTTGAAGTCTTGGCTCATCTCCCTCGAAGTGTTTCTGCTCTGATTATGGATTGTGATTTGAGACAGCAAGTAAATATACCAAGGAGGAGATCTTTTGAAGCAACATGTAACAGTGAACTCTGAGGGCAAAACAAGAGTGCTGCCTGCCTGGTGTTACTGTAGCTTTATGGAAATTACCATCCCCCTCCATCATGGGAGAAGGCAGTCTGTGGGAGAGTAGGCAGTTCTACTGTTTTTGGTAGGTAGCATATTGGTCAGTTGTGTTGCTAATAACATAGTGATCCCATCTGCTCTCAACCTGGTTATTGTGAAGCTGCCTGACTGTAGATCTGTTTTCTCAAGCTAAGAAGCCATGGAATATATCAGCCTCTGTGTACGTAGGGAGAGGAAGAGGATGTGTTGGAGGTCTTTGTTTTGGGGATATATGACCTGTACTGGCAGGTGAATGTTAGCATGTTGAATGTGCTCTGCAAGAGTGCCATTTGTTCCTTATTACCCTAGAACTGTATTATTGCCTTGATTTGAGCTTCAGCTGAAATAACAAGTTTTGATGGAAATGGTTTCTGGTTTTTTGTGGCTGGAGTTTATTATTCCTTTTTGTTTTAAACCCTTTATGTGTGCTGTAGGCCCTGCAGTGAAAGGTGGGGCTGGGGAAGAGCTGGGGACCACAGCACAAGAGTTACATGTTGGAACTAAGATGCAGAAGCAGAGATAAAAGCCTTCTCCTGGCTACTGATGTTTTTTTGATGTGTGTGCAGCAGGCAGAGATCATGCCTGCCCCTGACTCCATTTGCATGGCAGGCAGCTGGGGGATGTTGGCAGAGTGATGCAAATTCTCTGTGTGCTACTGTGCATTAGCTTTGAAGAATGGACAGATGGTACATGGTGCCAAAAGAAAGCAGGGTTGAGGGTGTCCCTCAAGATCTCTGCTGTATTTGGTGTGTGTGCTCTTGATTTTAATGTAAAGACCGTGTCTGTCTTTGCACTGTTTGGTTTCCTTAAGTGGCACTTTCCATAACCAGCAGATTGAATGGATGAGCAGCTGCACTTGGAATGTGGCTGTGCGGAGTTACTGACAGTTACTGAGTTTCCCTTATTTCCTCTTGCCCCCTGTTCATCCAGTGAGCAATCCTTTCTAAGTAGGTAAAGGGACACCTCTCTTGCTTGCTGCCTCTAACCAAACACACTAAGAGGTTTCTGACTGCTTCCCTGGCCCTAATGTGAATAAAGAGACGCCCAGGTAGACTGTGCAGACTGTTCCTCTACAACCCTCTGTTTGGATGTTGGAGCTTATCCCTAGGAGTACAAATTGACACAAAGTCCTTGTTTTCACATGAATTTTCTGTAAATGTTTCCATGGCATGTATGCATTTTGGCCTGCTGAGATGAACTGGAGCTTGGCAACCCTGGAGACAAGGATGCTGTGGGCCAGCAGGTTTGTGATCTTAGATTTCATCCTGCTCATGCTGGGGGATAAAAGGCAGAATGACCTGGGCTAAATGAAGCCCTGCAATGGAGACAGCCAACTTCTCTGTCCCCGTGTGCACAGAAATCAGTCGTGTGCCCACAAACTGAACAGGCTCTGGGAGCATTTGCAGGCTTGAGATAAGTGGTTTCTCAGAGTCCTACTACTCCTGGCTCGAAGGAAACAGAGCAGATCGCAGATCATTTCCCTGGCAGTGCTGACCCTGTGGTGCTCACCTTCTCCTACAGGCAGAGGTTCCTTGCTACTCTGCAGCCTGTGTGTCAGTATAGCCTTGTCCCTTTTCTCTTAGTGAACTCTTAGTAAGAGTGGGAGGTTTCACTTGAACTGCTGGCACCGAGACTCTCTGTGCTGTTGTTTCAGGCAGCATGGATTTTGGAGTGCAGATTAGGAATGAAGAACCTGGGACTAATGTAACCATTCCATCCCTTGGTCAAGCCCGCTCAAGTATAGTGAGGGCTAAGTGCTAAAGTAAGTTTTATTTTTTCACTCACTCCAGGGGGAACTGAAACCATTCAGGACACTTAAAAGGCTGCAAGGCTGGGGTTTTTCTAGGAGGAGAATGCAGTGCTGATTCCCCAGTGAACAGGAAGTTCAGATGGCTGTAGTCTGCATAGCAATGGTGACTTAAACGGCGTGACTTTTGTTTACCTCTTCTTCCTGAGAGGATTTACCTTGTGAATGCCTTGGGAGATGGGAAGCATAAACAGGATATATCTAAGAGGCATCTTAAAAGAACGGATACTTGGGAGCTGTCCTTTTAATAGCCCTGAGAATTAGCAGGGAACCCTTGAAGGATAACTCTCCCTTTTGCAGTTATAGCAAGGGCAAACTGTTGTGATCTGGTGCACTAAAGGACAGGTTTTTTTTTCTGAGTAACTTTTTGCTGAGCTTGTTAGTGACCATGCTGGTAGAAAAATGTTAAAATCTGGGCATAGTCAGTCCTGGGTCTCACTATGTTAGTAGCTGCCTAGATCTGTGCTGCCTGCGGGTTGGAGCAGTGGGAACAGCCTGCATTTGACAAGTGACTTGTGGGTCATGTGTGTGGCATTCTTGAGGGGAGGACCAGTGTCTCACCTGTAAAACTTCGTGCCTGGCAGTGCAGAAAACTGTACCCTGCTGACCCTTGAAAAGTTTTTCCCTGTGTAAGAGAGGACCCAGAGCTGATCAGCAGCAGGGAAGGATTTTGGTAATAGCTAGCCCATACTTGGAAATTAGTTTATCCTGCTTTAACCGTGACCTTTTAAGAGGCGTTTGTTGTTTCACAAATAGTGTGGACTTGGCAGACCAGGCAGCTTTTAAAGGGCCAGGGTTCTGATGTTGCTACTGTTGTAGTGTTAAACCCTCCATGTCCAAATGCCAGCACCCTACTGTTTGGTGACTATAGTAAGAACTGTGCACCATTAGATACACCCTGTAAACAGTGGCTTGGCACTCTTTAACTGTGTCTTCCTGCATTGTGGTTTTTTGTAGGCAAGTCACAGGTCCCCACATCGACTGTTTCTCCATTTAACTTGTCCTTAAATGACAGAAGTCACTGGTGAGCCCAAGCTGGTGCTGCTTGTGACTCCTAATCACATTTCAGCCTTCATGCTATGATGGTGCTTTTTTTTCCTTTCAAAGTAGGTTGCTTTCAAGTGTCTTAATGAAACCATTTGCTGTAAAATTTCTTCTGAAGTTAAAATGGATACTGCCTCACTGCCTAATGTCTTAATAATGTGCTTGGTTTTTTCCTTCTATATGAATGTATATTGCCTCATTAGGGCAGGAAGCGTGTGTGATTATGGATGTGTTTTCATGTATTCCTTTCAGTGAAAAATTTTACAGTTACCTAGGACTTTTTTCCCCCACTACCAAGATGTTTGGATAGCAAAAATCTTTCTGTGGACAGGTGAGGTTCTTTCTGAAATGCGGGAATTCAGCCTCCCAAGATCTTGTCTTTATGGAACTCCTCTAATGTTAATATGAAGCAATGGGCTCTGGAGAGTGGGGTGTTTGGGGGCTTTTTTTTAACCTAAGCTTGAGGAAGAAACTGTGAAACATTTGTGAGCTTTTTTTGAAAGGACTGATGTGTGTGTGTATGTGTTTGTCCATCATATTCAGTGTTTCCAAATGGATACAGTTATGACTCAAAATAAATTATTGGAAATTATCCGTGGAGTGGCCTGTTGATTTATGCCCACACACTCAGCCAAGACAAATGACCAAAAGCTGCTATCATCTCATGGCTATTTAGCTGTGACTTGGGAATAAGGGAGCAACAGGCTAAGGAAAAGTTAGGAAGCAGGTGTTCTTCCAGTTCTGCAGAAGCTGACCTTTGGGTTTTTTGGTGTTGGGATGAAACAGACCTGCTGGCAGTTCTCACCATGCCGGAAACCAGGCATATTCCCCTGCAGTAGGAATTTGAATGGGGATCTTTCATCCTGTGAGCAATCCATTATCATTATCCGATCCAGAACCCCCAAAATGAACAGTCTCTTACTTTAAACCCTTTTCTAAGCTGTATTTGGAAATGACATGGATATTCTCCGTACAGATAGTGGGAAGAGATGTAGCCTTTGATTCTGCTGGTATCTTGGGACAGCTGCTGAAAGGCAAGATGACTTTTAATGAGTAGAATCACAGGTGCCTTTGATTGTTCCAGAGCTCTGCTTTGATTTGCCTGTGTAGCACTTCTCTTTGCTGTTCAGCTGTTCCTCTTTGAAGATTACTTTGTGCTTGCTGACAACAAGGACCTTGCACTAGCAGTGACTCAGGATTTTAGTTAGGTGAGAGTGGTGTGTGCAGCAGTGTCAAACTTCTGACACCCAAGCAGTGCTGAGCTCCTTTAACTCCAGTGCTGTTGATGAGGACATGTGAAACTTCTGTTTCTCCCAGCTTTTTTCATGAGTTTTTCCCCTCATGGCTTGTCATGTTGTCCCTGCAGAGCAGGGCCATGTCTGGAGTGGCAGCTCCTGTGCTGTTGTGGCTGTTGTCCATAATGCATAACAGGTCTGCAGGGATGTGAGCTGTGGATCCCACTGCAGTGGTTCATGGACCCTTCCCAGACCCTTCATTGTCCCCCTCCGTCTGAGGGGAGCGGAGGGAGTTAATACTTCAGGCACTGTTCCAAATCCAGTTTGAGCTGGGCCTGGGAGACTTTGAAGAGAGTGGTATACAGATTTAATAAGAACCTGTGGTCAAGGTTTTTGGGAAACTGTGTAAACCCTGGAGGGCAGGTGTCAGCAGAGGATGGGGAGTTTGAAATTACTTCAAGGTTCTGCAGTTGCTCTTGTATCAAAGTGAAAATCTTCCCCCCCTCTCCCTGTGCAGAAGGAAAGTCTGGCTTTGCAGCCACCTCCCTCTCTTGCTAAGAAAAGCAAGGAGCTGACAGGCAGGAGTGTGCCTGAGCTGTGAGAGTGTGGGCTGATGACCAGCATTAAGGCACTGACATCTGCATCTCTCCAAGTGCTGGAGCAGGAGGAATGCTCTGGCACAGCTGCTGGATGAAGCTATTTCCTTGGTCTGATAAACCCTCTCACGTGTCAACCTCCTCCTGGAGCTTCAGTTTGCAAAACACTATCATTGTGCCAGGGATTCTAGGGGTATCCTGTGCAGTATCTCAACGGCATCATCTGGCACAGCCTTCCAAGGAGGTACGAGTTGTTTCAGCCATGTGTGGATTGAATGGATAAAGTCAAGTGGCTTCTTATCTCCCCTTTGATTCAGACCATGTTCAGCATGAATGTGCCTGATTCCTCAACATCTCTCTTCCATAGCTGGATCCAACTGAGGCTTCAGCTCAATGCTCACACTGGCAGTAGGCAAGGGCAAAGGGTTGTCAAATCACAGCTCCTCCTGAATCTTCTTCTGGCTTCTTGCTTCTGGAACTGCCCAACCAGGGAACATCTTGCCAGGAGAATCTTTCAAAGCTACTAGGAATATAAGAAAACCCTGGAAGATGAGAGTACTAGAGACTAAGGCCAGTTGCAAAAGTGTTGACTGTACTTCAAGTTCTTAGGGAGGAACTCTGCTCCACGTAATCAGCATTACTTTCTTGCATGGTGAGTGGGCACTGAGATGAGTGGAAGCTGTGGGCCTTGAGGACAAAATGTGCTTTGCTGGGGAAAGAATCTGCAGTTTAGAAGACTGGATGTACCCCTGAGTAGCCAATGGTTTGGGGCACCCTTTTAGCTGTGAGAGATGTAGATTCAATCCCTGCTCAGCCTGTTGCTGGAGTCAAGACCAGGAAGCGTGTGGGTCCATCTACTTCACCACTCCATATTCCCTTACAGCTGTAGCATGTCCTGTTTCCAGCCTTCCCTCCTCCAGTGGAGGAAAGATGTGACCTTGCCTTTTGTCCTCTGGGTCACCATCGTGCTTATGCCATGAATCCAGATGGAAGGTGGGCTGGGAACTTTCCTTGCTGTGTTTGTCGTCAAGCCTCACGAAGGAGGAATTCAGCTTTGGAAAAGGCCAGAAGTGGGAGCATAAGGGCTGGTTCAGAGGTATTCCAGGAGCTCATTAGGCTCTACATGGCAGAGGCTTCCAAGACTTGTACAAGAGAAAGTGGATAGCTGTCGCTGTGCTGCCACAGCATGCTGCTGTTAGCACCAGGTGTAGCTGCTGGCTCCACTAGGGCATTATTTGGGTAGCTCAGCCCTCAGCTCTGCTTCTCCCTGCCTGTTTGGCTCAGTCCTCTGCAAAAAACAGTACCCTTCTGCAGTGCCTGTTCTTCCCTGCAAGAGAAGTTATTCAGCCCTCTCTCAGCTTGCCGCTTCCTCTCACAATCTGCCTTTTAATGTAGCCAGATGGTCTGTACCCGCCCACTCTCCACGCAGGCACCTTCAGCTCTCTGCACTTGGATAATGTGCTTGTCTGACCTGCTGGCGGTCAGGTTTGTAAAGAGCCTTTAGGAGACGGTAAATGTTCATGTGTTGTAGAGGATGGATGTGGGAGGGAACCTGGGAGTGACAGTTGTTTTCAGACCTGCACCAAGAGCCTGCTTGGCAGTCTGGCTTTTTTGGGCAGGGAGGGTTTCTGGCCACATCCCTGTGAGCTCTCTGCGTGGACAAATTCCTAAAGCTAAAGCTCTGGAGCCTGTTGATTCGCTTGGGCACCTGACCTGTCCTATGCAGGTCATCTTCATCTGCAGTGCTTAGTGCTGGTTTAGGTTCCCAATCCTGGACTTCTGTCTAGAGCCTTTCAGCCAACTTCTGACACAGAATGTGCATTACCAGCTCAGTTGTGTTCATTTCAGATTTGGGTTTATTGGAAATTTTCAGTGCTTATAAGGGTTTTACAAATGATCTAATA